ATATAAATGGTATCGAAATCGTGTGTGGCTGAGAAGGATATATGGGATGTAATAAGTGTGAGGGGAAGGGATAGTTTGATATCTTTGAGGGAAAAGATCAAAATGATAACGAACCGTTTGAAAAATGATTCGAACGGAAAATTGTGGAAAAGGGTTTTCTTGGAGTGGCGGTTAATGATACAGGTCTAGTTTCAAAACGGTGTCCTACAATAACCGAGAGGAGATAAATCAAATAGACAAATTTTGATTAATGACACATATTAATAAACGTTTCATAAGACATCTCAGTACTGATGATGACTAATCGATTAGACAAAGTGATTATTTAATAAATATATGAAACCAATATACAAGCAAAACCGCGAGCCGGCGCTGTATACATATAACCAATTAAGTCGTAAAGTGCAATTGAACGCAGTGCTATTGATCCTGTTTCAGTGCACTAATGATTTAATATGCTTTACATATTATAACGAACAACCATATATTTTATCAATTCACACGCACACTTCGCTATGTATTTCCATGTTATAGTGGCCTCTGACCGCGAATGCGTCAACGAATTAATATGTTCTTTAGAAATAACATTTTTTTATCAAGACACATTAGGCATTATTGGGTTCCCGTATTTGTTTTCTCGGTTTATAAACTAAGGCCTCTGTAGTCGGAATAACTAACATTACATACCCATGGGCATACATATTTCCTTGGGTTTCCATAGATGTAGTATCTTCTATGGAAGTATTGGAAAACCCAGACCTTGATTGCCATGGTTACACCGTATAACATGGAAAACACATTTTAACCATGGTAAAGAATTTTTAAGATATACGGAGAATGCACCTAACAGTAGCAAGCACGTTAAAGCATAATGTTCGCTTCCCTAAGCTTGGGTAAAACTAAATGGCTGGCCCGTCTTGTAATGTTGATGATCTCAATTTAAGTTTAGATTACACCTTGATTAAAAGGCATTCATTTCGGCACCTTAATACAATTTTAGAACAAAAATCATTTTACCACAGATTGTTATACTTTGCAAGAAAAGATAGTGTTGAAATATAATTTATTCAGGCTCCGTATAATTTCAGTAGATTTATTTTACTGATTTTAATCGACTTAAATGTTAGATATAGTTAGATTAAAGATAGATATAAGTATGTGATAATGTTGGAATTGGTTAATATTGGTTCATTTTAATGAAGCGGTTTTTTTAGTATTTGAGATTTCATCTACGAACAGCAAAATTTGCGTATCTACCGACATGTACACGTTTAAAAAAAGTACCTAGATTAATATTGCTAAGTATTAGAAGGCAGATATTTATTTCTCTATAATTTGTTACATTAAAAATAATAAAAAAAATATCAAAGTAAACTAAAAACTAATACCTCACGGACTCATGAATTACAATGCAATACAAAATAAGAAATACAAGTGGTTAGGTTGGTAGGCAATCGCATGGAGTCGGGCAGCGTATTCCACAACTTAATGGCAAAGATCCTAAACCAGTTGCCTAAGAAGGATGAGCCGTGAGGTGGAATTTCCAAACAGCATCTATTAGAGGAGCGTAACATATAGTTGCAAGGACCTGATAATTTGAATTAATATTAAAGATAAGAGGGTTTTTTGGGATTGAAAAGAGTTTATAGAAAATAGAAGTTGAAGGAATTGAGCGTCACGTCTGAGTCGAATAGGTCATATTTCTTAAAACCAAATATAAAGCGTATGCAGAAATTTTGAAGGCGTTAGATCTTGTCAAGCAGCTCTTCAGAGCATTAGAAGTTTGCGGCTGATTTCCTTTATGTGACCCCAGGATAACGTTTGGACGAAGAAAACACCACGATTTTTAGCAGTCTTATTAAGAGGCCACGCCGTCAAGGTAAATGCCAGGGAGCTGAGCCCAGTTGACCCTTATATAAAGAAAGGGCTTCCGATGATGATGGCTCGTGGCAGGATTAATTTCAAGATCTAGTCTATACTCCAATTGGCTATATCATGAAGATCATCATTCAACGCCTGAATCGCCAGAGGAAGTTAATCCAGTGTAGACTGAACATAAATTTGGAGGTCGTCAGCGTAAAGGTGATAAATACCGATAGACCTGTCAGAGAGTTGATGAGTATACCAAATAGAATTTACATTATTCCACTGAGAGTGGGTATCATTTATTTTAATTCCCTTATGACCACCGTAAAGATAGCTTTGAAACCAGTCAATAGCCAGTCAATAACGAGTCAAAGCAACCCAAGCACAATTTCAAAGTCCACAGAATTGAAAGCATTGCAAAAGTCAAGTAGAAGTATTATATATCTATGTCCTGTCAATTGGTATGTGGAAAAGTAGACGAGGCTAATTGAGAATTGGTATCGTAGAAACGAAAGACGATGATAATTAAAGAGATGGGAGGATGACCTTCCAAAGGAATGGAGAAGGTCAGCTCGAGATAGAACGATGGCACTAGGAGAAGCCTATGTTTATACTCGTGAACGGGTGCTACTTGTAGTGACTGGTCGTACTTAAATTCGTGTATGCGGTGATGTTAGTTATTTCGACTATGTATTTGCGTGTTATTCCCACGAGACTGTAAGTGCGTGCTCCTATTTCACCATGCCTCCTGCTGATAGAGGATAAATCTTTGTTTTAACTTATTTAATTATTATTTATTACTTAAGATGTAATGTGGAACATGGTGTAATAGTTGTAGCTCCTTACAAACGTTGTGTCAAACAAAAAAACTTGGCGATTAAAAAGAGTGGCGGAGAGTTTATTGCCAGTTCTTCTCTTCTCTTTTACGCCCTTCATTTGAGAGCTGGCACTAAATGTAAAATTAATATATTGTAGTATATGTAAAATATATATATTTTTTTGACGTTCATAAGTGTTCATTGCTTTACCTATATGAATAAATGATTTTGACTTTTGTCAAAAGACATTCGGACAATATAACAATATTGATAAATTTTAAATTAACTTTATCTTGTGTTTGTGAGTGTAAACTTTTAGAACAGTCATATTGTACGTCGTAACATTTGTTTATGAACGTTTCATGGAAACTATTTCTTTAGTTTTTAATACTACCTAAATGATAAATTGTCAACCAGTCATAAAAAGTATGCCTAAATAAGACTCGACTTATAACTTGTACCATACGAGTCACGTATTAACAGCTACAGTGTAGGGTACTGAAGGCATTCCACGCCAGAAAGTCTCACTTTATTAAGGCTTTATTGAACTGCCTTATGGCCATCGTTCGTTATTTAAGAATTGTTATCATTCCTTGCAATATTGCTTATCATTATTTACAACTTAGTCTAAGGAATTAAAAAGCTTTCATTAGAGAACTGCTATTACCTTTCCATCAGTGGCTATCTATTTTTAGGAGTATCAGTGTGATTATGGCTGATAAGCAATTACCATCATACAATGTATAAATCATTCGTAATTGGTATCATTATTATATTTAACTTCTTTACTTTTCGAAGTAACGGCGAGAAATTCATAAAAATAGTAAAATCATTAGGAAGGCGGCCAACCATTGTGTTATACTATTCGCCTTTCATATAAAAACATTAATTAAAAGAAAAGCAGGCACTTAGTATACGGAAAACAGGAAAAGTTATAGTAGCGAGGGTGGGTCATGTAGGGGAATGGGAGCTTTACCGCATTTGTAATTAAAGCTATGTTTCCGTGAAGTGAAAAGAACTCTTTTGATGTTTCAGCAAATTATAAAGATTTGTTAGTAAGGCGCAATTAAATAAATGCTGAAATTCGTTTGAAACTGTTTAAAAAAAACATCACACGTTTCCGTCGCGAGGGAAAGTGCTGTTGGACTTCGCGAATTTAGGTTTTAGCAGAACGACTAGACTTTTCCTTTCTGAATCATGTTTTACAATGAGATACAGTGTACGAGTTTGTTAAGCGGTTAAGGGACGGTCTGTATTAATTTAAATTAACTTTATTTATTTATTTGGGGAACAAAACAGATACATCTCTATACAATGAAAAAGCTAATAAAATAAACACATTGGACGTATCCACAAAAAGTTAAACAAAGACATTAATAGTTGTTTTAAATTATTTTTAAATGAAGCAGTAGGTAGGTAGAGGAGTGCGAAAAAGGGTCAATGTTGTTGGCAGAATTTTGGCAAAACATTGCCACGAATAAAGAAAGTCTGTTTTGATAATTTTAACTATCAATTACTATTTGGTATTAAAACTTTAATTTAAGCATTCCACAAGCAAAATTAAGACTGTTCGAGAAAGGGCAAATATATTAAAATGTCACTCGATTCCCTTTTTCAGCGGCAACATGAGTAGGTATGTTGTGACGAAAACACATGTGTGTTTGTATGTATATGTCTTAGATCAACACCCACCGAGTGAGCTTTAGAAAAGAAAATTGTTTTCATTTCTCGACAGCACCCTGTGTTTAACTCCCGCTATAAAAGGTGTTTTATTTCACTCTATTATAATATTCTCTTTAATTTAATACATAATAAGAATATTTCGCTATTCAGTGCATTTTTACGACAAAAAGCTTGCGGAAACATTTACTACTTTGTTTTGAAAAAGTAATTTCCGTCGGTAACGACATTTAAAGATCTTTTTGTGACGCAATTCAGACATTAATTAACTCTAATGACCGCACTTTCGTTTACGTGTAGTTAGAATTAGGTACTAGATAAGAAGACGGCTCAACAACTTAGCTAGACCTTTTAACGCATAATTTCTTGCGACATGATTATCACGTTAAAATCACTTGAGGTCAATATGCGATCAATCGCACAGACGGACGAAACATTAAAAAATTGAATTGGATCTGTTATTTTTGTAAAAACATTTATATTTTTATTTAAATTAACTATTTAGCAACTCGTTGCTGTATGTTCTATTTCCAAAATCGATTTACCTAAATCATATAGGTATATTCCTAAAAGGCGTTTGGTTAATGTATACTTCACTGTTTAAATGTTTCTGCCTTGTGATGTTAAAAAACTTACCTGGTTCGTCACTTAATTCTGGAAAGTGCGGTCCAGCAGACGGCTGACCTCCGTACAACAGGTTCAGCTCTCGAGCTTCGTTCTCTTCTTGAGCCTGCTGACGTCTTAACGCCACCTGCACGATATACTGATTATATTACGATTTCTGATTTTGTAACGTTGATAAATCTCGGAGAAACTAAAACCTTTATAAAGGTCATGTATACTATCTTTGTGAGCTCATTCCCATTATTTAAAGTCTGGTGAAGTTAAAGTGATAATTCGAAAGATCTAAGGTATGCGTCACGGAGAGGCGGAGAGTCTGCCTTGAACACAATCTAATTATTGTCAGTGTTGGATTAATAGCTTTTGCTATATTTTTTATTTACTAAAGCTTATTGTACAAATTATTTACTAAACGAATTTAGGAACGCCAGCCAACAACAATGCACGTTCAAAAGATGCAATTTAAGTAAATCAGTATATAAATAATACCTGTGCAGCCATGACCCGCTGCCTCTCAGCGATGAGTGTGCATTTTGCGCAGACGCAGTCTCGCCAGCGACAGTATCGCTTGTGGCCCTTCAACGCAGATACCACGCCGTGGTTGCGGCACCTCGCGCACTTCGGGGTCCGCTGGAATACAAAAGATATCTTTCAAAACTTATTGCTGAACTTGAATGACTTAAGTATCACTTAATAAAAGACTGGCCCAATCTATAAATTTAGTTTATTGCCAATTCTTCTCATCCGTTCTACGCCCTTGATTTGAGAACTGGCAGTAAATGTAAAATTAGAAGCATTTAATGTACATATTTCTTTTTCGACGTTCATAAGTGTGCATTTTGTTACCTATATGAATAAATGATTTTCGACTTTTGACTTTGACTTTGAAATAAATTTAAGTAAATCTGTTTTTTTTTACTTAAACACGTTGAGTTTACATTATAATTTACATTTTTTTATTCTATAAGTTTGCACTAAGGCTTCTATAGGTTTTTCTTAAGTAAATAAATAATTCATATAATTAACAATATAAATTGTATCTTAAGGATAAAATGGCATATCAAACGTCGGGATTATCTATTATATATTTCTTGTCATTGGTAGTTTAATTTATTTTCCAGTCGTGATAAAAGAATGTTGGACTATGGTTTTTGTTGTACCTTCAAAACCTCGTCTAAAGTAATCACACCTACACATCCGACATCAGAAGAAATAAAGATACCTAAACAACTCTCTATTTTTCTTTAATCTCTAATCTCTCTAAAAAAAAGGAACAGCAATGGGATTGTCTGAATGTTTTAAAATTGTCATCTCTTTCATATCAGGTTGGGGAAAAAGTCTTTTCGCATTATACCTACTATGTATGAACTTGTAATAAAATTTCTTTGGCTATACTATATGTATTTGCCTGTTTTTGTTATCATTGAAAGTTGAGATTTTAAAGAAGATAATTCCAAATTCATATTAGGTTAATGTGTGATTTTTATTTATTTTTCATACCGTCAAGTTAAGTGAAATCTAATGAAGAAATTCGATACATTTTAAAATTTTACTACAAAAAAGGTAAAAATGCAACGCAAGCCGCGAAAAATTTTTGCTATGTTTATGGACCTAGTGCAGTGTCTGTGAGAGTAGCACAAATTTGGTTTAAGCTTTTTCAAATTTTTTTTTGATTTTTTTTTTGACCACCGATTCTGAACTCTACTGCGAAACACTGATGAGATTAAAGCAAGGAGTTGAGAAAAAGCGGTCGGAATTAATCAACAGAAGGGGTGTGGTTTTTCATCAAGATAACGCTAGACCTCACACATCTATAGCCACTCAGCAAAAATTAAGAGAGCTTGGCTGGGAGGTGTTAATGCATCCGACGTATAGACCTGACCTTGCACCTTCAGATTTCCACCTGTTTTGGTCTTTTCAGAATTCTTTAGGCAGTGTCAGGTTAACATCACGAGAGGACTGCCAAAACCAATTGTCGCGGTATTTTGATCAGAAGCCCCAAAATTTCTATAGCAATGGGATCATATCCCTACCTACAAGATGGCAAAAAGTTATCGAACAAAATGGTACCTACATACTTTAGTTAAATGTAAATAAACTATATTAAAAAATGTTGTGAATTTTCTTGAAAAAATGCGAAGAAACTTTTTCCCCAACCTATTACATTTAACAGAATAACATCTTAACCAAAATAATCAATTCATTAATATACCAATTTAATACCATTTACCTACATATAAATTTAGGACAATTGTTAAATTTACAAAATAATTATTTAGTAAATTTAACAAGTAGGTATACTGCAAATATATTTTTACTTTTATTATATTAACTATTCTTGAACGTATGTGTTAATTAATTTTTGTTCCGATCTATTTATGTTACTCGCTCTAGGTATAACCAAAACTTATCACCAACATACAAAACGCATTGCTCAAATAGATTAATTTTCTAGAATACGATCAGACAATAACCTACAAAAAACCTATAGAACTATTGTCTACCTATGTACCTACTTATAGTACGTATTTAAGCTACACGACACAGTTACTCCCGGCGGAAATTAATATTTGAAAATTTATAATTTTCAAAATGTGTCTATTTACAATATAACGGTAACATCGTTCACGATCTTTAAACTGATGGGCTGGACAATGCGTACATCAAATACAAAATGTTGTAGAATCTTTTATACATTATGTAAATTACAGTTTTTAAAAGAGCTATATATTTATTTTCAAAATGAATGAACAAGAAACACATTAAGTTAGCTACGAAATGCAAACCAACTTCCTAAGCCAACCTAGCAGCACCACCAAAAACAAAATAAAATAATCTTTTAATCCAATAGGCTTGAATTCATCCAAGAAGTCGTCTAGTCTCCGTTTTCACACATTCTAAAAATCTTTTACGCCCTTGCTACGACTGACCTACAAACCGGAAATTACGAAAATATCAAGTTACAACAAAACACGCGAATGAATGTAACGATAATAAAATTAAAGGTCTCACTAACCCTTAATAAAGAGTTCATTTACAATGAAGATGTAATATTATAATTTAATTATGTTGTAACATTGGTAGGTATATCCGTAACGGTGGAGCGGCGGAAGTGTTACGAGAGACCGCTCTTTAATCTATTGTAATTTTATATTAAAATTGTTGGTTTTTACAAGTATTGTGATACTAATATCATTTCCTATAGGTGCGGCAATTTTTTGATGGATAGCAGTTTTAAATTTGGTTCTCAATTTAATTACAGAAGTTAGATCACCAATGAAAATCTTGGTCTAGATTATTTTATGGAACTAGTTTTTTCAATAAACAAAATATGTCATTTTATCAGCGTTCACTAACCTGATATCTCTCGGAGGCTCGCAGGAAGAAAGGCGGCAGAGCAGCTAAGACTGGATGCTGCACCAGCTGTGATACATCAACACCGTTCGGCAGAGACATTTTCGCTTTCGAATCCGGTCAAAAGTATAATTAAAGTTATAAACACACGAAACACATCTCCTCACTGAATAAATATTTAACTTTGGTAATTGTTATTATTTAACAATATTAGGACGAACACAAGCGCGAACAGAAAACGGAACGAAGCACACCGTTCCTTGGCAAGTTGTAACGAACACTGTTGCTTCATTTTTGGTGGAACGCCGACAGTTGCGGGGCCGGGCGCGAGCGGGACGAAGCGACACACTGTATACAAACCGCGTAGCTCCATCCCGCTCTCGCTGGAGTGTTAACTGTATATGTTGTATCATCCGGTTATATAAAATGTTATGAGAAGAGTGGATCTGAAGCACCAATGGGGAGGCCGCTAACCCCGCCCTCGGCCCGCGATTGGCTCGCCGACGATGAAACTTAATTTATAAAGGTGACTTTTTTGAGTTCGCGAACAAAGCTCTATTGAATGGAGCACAAAAAACACAATTATATTTGTTATTCGAGTCGTGGATACGTTTTTTATTAATATATTCGCGGTTTTGTGAGCTGTTTCCAGTGTTAGCGCATGTTTTATTTGGCTTTAATGAGATTTATATTGATAACATTGTTGAAGTAGTTCTGTCTGTATTAAGTCCTTCATTTCACTTCGCATCAAGTGATAGCATCGATTTTGTCAATGAGATAACATTTTTATTCACTGGATATCTTAAGAATTCCAAATACACAGTATAAACGTATAGGTATACAGTCTTATGACTTTTAATATTATTATTACGTTCTGCGTTGTAATTAAAAGTGTAAAACGCAATCTGATGAAAACGGTTATTAAATTGGATATCAATTTTATCTGAGTGAGGAAGGTGAGACCGAATTGAAATATTTCAATTTAGTTGTCGCCTGTGCCACAGTTTACCCAATTCATTCAGTTGGACATTTTATCGGTTGTGGGTACAGGCAAATCTACCGAGGACGGGACACGTTTTTATTAACAAACTAATCGAGCAATTAGTTTTTCTGGAACCGTCACTATGAATAGTAGAGCCTACTCTTAGGCTGATATGAAAAATATTATCTGACAATTGGAGTCTTTCCTTACAACGAAATGAATAGAAGACATTTTTGTGATAGCATGATACACCTTACGACAAAAACCTAATAAATTACGTTACATTGCTCACACATTTACTGTTGATGTATCTTCCGCTGCGATTACTGTTTACACATCGACACTTAATCTGTGCCAGAATCCATTTAAATTACAATGAGAGGGGGGTGGTGGGTGCGGAAGGGGGTGCGACAATTATTAATGTATAACTGAATATCTGCGAAGCGCTGACGGAATTTCACTGTTCCAGTCGGAATTTATTAAAAGTCGTTGTTGTAATTATAAAGTCTGCTATGTAATTATTGTTTATGGTATTTTCACGTATTTCCGTCAATTCTCAAGTCTGTATGTGTAAACAAGAATTATGTGCCTTAAATTGACACCAATTACATATTCATTCCAATGGAATTAATTTCTATTTTGTATGAGATTAGTAAATGGTTTATTTAATGTATTTAAGTGAGCCAGAGGTGCTGGGTTTAACGTTTTGGGAAACACATACCATTTTCATTATAAAGAAAAACGGAATAGGCCAACAGATACGTTGGTCCACTTGATTTCTGTTAATATACATTACTGTAGTATGCTTTAATGGTTGATAAGATAGAGTAGGTAGTATCTCAATGTTACCTGACTGATATTTTTTATTTTATTTTATTCATTGAGAATGATTTACAGTTTATAACTAACTTCGGTACCTACTTGCTTAATATAAAGTTCTGTCTACGCCATTAAACAAATCTTGACCTGTAATTAAGTACTAATAATTAACTGGATTGGTAATAATAACATCATTTTAATCCAACTACATAATACTATCTATATCAATTAAAGAAAGCAATAAACTAACTAAATATTCGTTGAGGGTAGTATAACTTATACTGTTATACACTCATAAAAACTTATGAAACACTATTTATTCCACTGAGGAACTCAGATATGAGACTTTAGAGCTCTCCTTGCCGACACCACACGTGCATATTGTTTAGAGTCCTATTATTGTTAATTTACTTTACAGAACAGGGGGCAAACGATCAGGAGGCTCATGTGATGTAAAGTGATACCGCCGCCCATGGACACTCTCAATGCCAGAGAGCTCGCGAGTGCGTTGCCGGCCTTTTAAGAATCGGTACGCTCTTTTCTTGAACAAAGTCGAATTGGTCCGGAAATACTTCAGTGGGCAGCTGGTTCCACATAGTGGTGGTGCGCGGCAGAAACGCCTTAAGAAACGCTCAGTTGTGGAACGGCGGACGTCGAGGTGATTACACACACGGAGACGCACCTTAATTAGTAGCTCAAGACAATCAACTTTACCTGTACCTAGTTAATTTCATTAAATATGTAACTTCTGCTGTCTCACGCCTAACGGAGTGAGGAAGAATGTGGAAATGGATACATTTTGTTAAGTAGTCAGGTAGGAAAACCTTAGCTTTATACTGGAGATGTCTTATAAATGTCTTTTGTATGAGTTCTATACGATTGCTATAAACGGCATATTGTGGGTTCCATACTTGCAAGGCATAATCTACGTTAGATCTAATATACTAGGCAAAGTAGAGGACTTTAAGGGGCCGTAACAATGTACGGATAAGTTCTACATAAGTTCCAAATTAGCAATAAATAATTACTTATTGGTAGGATAAACACTATTGTTGTGTTTCACGACTGTCAGATAGCGCTATTCGTCACATAAAGTCCATCATAAGTTATGCGTCCGATGAAGTGACGAATAGCACAATTTATCTTCCAAATAATTTATGTGTTGCATAGCTATTTGGTACTTTATCCATACATTGTGAAACAGACCCTTAGTGTCTTGACTTGAATGAAGTTTGTTGTCAAGACACTAAAAGTCCAATGACCAACCGATTTCTATTCAACGCCGATGTGATAAAACTAATTTGATAAACACTAATGGAAAGTCCATATCAGAGATATGTCGTGTGAGCCGCGCGAGGGAGCGGTGGGGGGGAATGGAGGGCGAAGGGGAAGGGATCGACTAAATGAGAATTCCGCAGACGATCAATTCGCGAAATGTTCACATTTCGTAAACGTCTCAACTTCGGATAGAGACGTCACTTGCATTGGCGTGTCGATGATTTTAATGTAAATGGAAACCGGAATACATCATTAGTAATAGTTCACTTCCGCAAGTTAACACCAAATAAATAATTACAATGAAAAAATAGAAAGAGACCTGCTGGGTTTTTAATATTTATGTATTTGAGTAGCCAACACCAAAAAACAGCTATAAATCTAAATGTATAATCAAAAGGTACACTAGAAAAATATAACGTAAATATTGGTATGAAAGAGTAATTGTAACTATCTACTAAATAAATTACTTTTTACGTTTATATTTAAAATATTATGTTTCGACTTGGGTACCACAATGCTAACAATTGCAAAACTATTTGAATAATGAATCTTATTGTTTTACAACAAATTTTTGCGATACCTAATGATGTTTTCTAGTTAGATTGTCAGGTACTTTAGTAGCGTCTACTACTATTATGGAGAGAAATACTTTAAAGCTTCTCAAATAAAACAAAAAATATACTGATTATCGTACTATTTATCGACACAGTGTTAACACTAGAAGAGCGTGGGAGCGAGCGAATATCTTCGCAAAGCGTTAAAATGAAATGTTCGCAATTTGAATATCATTCCGTGCGGCTCCCCTCCGCCCTCCGACCCTCTGCCCCGCACTTTGTTCTACTTTGGAGAGTTTTGTGGCATTAAGAGGTACATGGTCTTGGTACGGGGATGTATCTCTTATACGGCTTTCTTTCAAATCAATAGGAATAACGTTGTCTTAATTACAAATAATCTAAGAGTGGGCGTATTAGGTAAAAGTGGAGACAGCTCTTCAGTTGTGACATAGTAATAGATTAGATCATATAGAGAGCCTAAAGATGACGTTTGTTTAGCCCTGGCTATAAATAGCATCAATAAATAGTAGGTAATATCCTACAATCAAAGACGTATCGCAGTTAGTTATCGCAGTAGGCTGGTCTCTGCTCACGTTACATTATCAATTAAACAGTAGATTTGTGTCTGCCTGCATCACTACAACATAGATGCTAACATTTTTCGAATTTTCTCGCTTACTATTTGTTCTGTGTCTATACTTACAGATGTATTTCAGAACCTTCCCTAATTCGTTTCGGCAGTTCAGCGAGATCTCTGCTCACAGAGGTCTCACGAGTCACAAGTAAATATCTGAATACATAAGTCAGCGGATAATGAAGTGCGGGCGTGTCCCCGCTGTTAGCTACAGTTGCGACCAATCGCGGCGCCCGCTACAGTTGCCACTCTCCCCATTGGCTTAGACCACATTTCACCTTCAGGAAAATCTCCACAACTGTAAAAGCATACTCTACGAATATCATATAGCGCTTATCTCAGCACCTATTTAAGTACTAAAACCATTACCCATTCCATATCAACAAGGGATTCTGGAGATCTTCTCAAAGCTGTGGTACTCCAGGGTTCAATGTTCGATTTCCTATTGACTTTTATTGTGTTGCGAGATTACAAACTTCACATAATTATTAATTGATGATTTTATCATATCTATAATATAAATAATATTATGGGATGCTAGATATTATCAATATAAAAATAAATTGCGGTTCATTTGCCTCGCTAAAACTTGAGAACTGGCTGGACCGATTTGGCTAATTTTGATTTTGAAATATTTGTGAAAGTTTAGGGAAGGTTTAATCGTTGAGAACCATGTATAATAAATAATAAAAATTAAAAAAAACATAACGGTAAATAATTTAAATTTTCACTTATAAGATTACAAACCACAAGAGTGAAAAACTTGACGACTTTATTTGTTTGCAGGGAACCTTGAGGGAAATGCCAGATAATTTTGAAGCTCGTGTGGTATTCGGGGGATTATTTTTCCGACCCAAATGTCGGCCAATAGAATTGCACCATGAGACGAAATGTACAGTTAACAAATAAGAATTTCATAATGAATAAAACAACTACTTAATACTTTTCTTGAAGCAACTACCAGAGAAAATTTTCAAAAAATTATCAGTATAATACCATGTAGGTTGTACCACGTGACGTCGAATGGTGCAATTCTATTGGTCGATATTTGGGTCGGAAAAATAATCTATAAAATTCGTTTCTGGCGTCAAAACATTTGATGTCTTTTATTTTTTCACTGTTAAATAGTTTATTAAAACTTCATCAATAAATCAAATATACAGTATTTACAATTTTCTTAAACTACAACTGAATAATAAAAATAAATAAATAAAAAGATCAGTGGCAGTGCAGCCTCAAGGCTGGTAGCATTTCGTCACATAGGTACCTACTTGGTTGTCAAATTTTTTGGATTCATTCAGATTTCAAGATTTACAAATCTATTTGATAGCTATCGTATGAGGTCCGATTTAAATTATATAAAACAAAGCCGAGTTTCTTCTAACAATTATTACCTACTCAAGAAGGGCTGGACCGATTTTCATGGTTTTTGATTTGTTGTACCTATTTGTCATTGGAATCCAATACAAAATGTTCATAGGTTTCATAATTGTCAAACATTTAATCAGTTCATCCCGTCGATACGCTAGACTCTTCCCTCAAGGAAAGTATTTAAATAAAGGTTTCGAATCGACAAGATATACCTATGCACAATATTCGGAACATGCCGTATTTTAAATTTTAAACAAAAGTAAAATAATGGTTGTAATGAAAAAGGATGGACGTCTTATTGGTTGTCATTATTATCTAAAAAAGTAAAAAACTTAATATTTATTCTGTATTCATCTATACTTTCATAAAATGATATATTAAGTTCAGTTAATCTGTAACATGATATACATTGACTCTTACGGAATGAAGTTTGCCGGGTCAACTAATTATTGTAGTGAACACATGAAATGAAGAGATGGTTTTTTAATTTACCTAAACTAGCTTTGCAGTGAGCTGTCACAGTATGTACCTAATAAATAAATAGGTTTTAGAAATCTCCTCTAAATTGACGATGGCAAGAAAATCAGTAAACGTCTGCAAGCAACGATTATGTAAATGGTGGCGCTGACCAACAAAAACAGAAAATATCGCTCAACCCGTCGGCAGCTCGTATTTTTCACTTTTACTGTGACGCCGAGTGCGCTTGATGGGGCAGCTCTCTGCCGGCCGCTCCTAGGGCTGCACCTCGGCCCCGACGATCTCATTTATCAATATTTCCTTGTATCTTTCAATATTTAAGAACTCTAATTTTAAAAAAAATTTTGTCGGAGTAATAAGCTTTGGTGAACTTTAGAGGAAATTGTTCTTTCCAAATAGTAATGCTATGCTAGTAGTTAATTAATTATGTAAATATAATAAAACATGTAGGTACCCGGTTAGTTCTACTAAGTTTTCACTACCTTAAGGATGTTAGTAACAAATTATTTTTATGATATTGTATCGATAACAAGAGCGCATCACTAACCCTAAGGTTTTTTTTCTTTAACCCGTTTGTTAGGGTTTGAGTAAGTCGTGTGCAGTTTTCGGGGCTCGAATGACCAAGCAATTTGTATGAGCCGATGTTTTTATTCGAGCCTCGATTGACGGCAAAGGTACCCTATGTTATTTCTTCTTGTTTTTGGAACCAGCCAGCGCTACGCAGAAATCTTAATCATTCAAATTATTATACATCCAAAAATTGTTGGTAATTTGAAACCAGTTAACGTCTAACGATAATCGTTGGTGTGAGGTGTCTTATAAAAATAGATAGGACATTAAAATAATTAACGTCATATAATATATATATTTTTTTTAATTTAATTTACAGCATATATGGAAACAGCAGCAGCATATGCCTATGGGATCTGAAATACTTTTCAGACAGATATAGTCTTAGCAAATCCGGAACCAGGTCCTAGTTTGCTCTACCCCTAAAAACATTTAGTGCAGAGTAGATTCGTCTGTCGGTACAGAAGACTGATTATCTAGCACATAAAAGAAGACACATTAAAGGGTCTAGCGTCGGTAGCATTTAGCTAATCCTGACTTTCCAAATAAAAATGGGATATTCCCGGAATCGACAGGTAATACAGTTTATGATCTGCATATTTGAAATTTCACCTCCCATAACGTAAAGGATAAAAGATTGAAGAGCCATCCTTATATTTACTATCTATTGAGTCATACATTGGGAAATGTAGTCATACGTCTGTTGCATGAGACAACTAGTGTTGAGTAGGTTAATTAATATCCAATGGCAATAATCGATTACTAACGCCATCTATGGTCAGATAGCTCTTCATATGAAGCAAAGTGATGCTACACTAAGAATTCATTCAAATTGCTTATACGTAGTTCAAAGATTATATACTAGATGTCTCTCTCATAAAAAGCATTTATGTGTTCCGTATGTCAAAATGTCTAACCGAAAGCGGTTTTTTCAGCGTACGTTTTTATATAGCGTATTTATTTCGCGCTTACCGTGGGGGTCAGATTCTCGGAGATTCTAGGTAAAATTTAGAGTCGAGACTAAGCGCTAAGTATAGCCCCCATCCAATCCAATACGTTTGACATAGTCCAGGACACGTACTAGCACTAAATCTCAACTTTGTGCCTTACCCTTAAACATTCGAGTTTCTGAAATGTTATGTTAACCAAATACAACAACACTTCTATTTTATTTTATATTTCTTACGAGTTAAATAGGCTCTTCAAAACGGAAAACGCATAATTATCGTTATTGTTTAAAAAGTTTTTGATTGATTTCACAAACTACGTGATCGATAACCAAACAAACATGAATGTTTACTAACAGTAACTTTGCTGTAACAAATTCACAACATCCGAATTTCATTCTAGAAACAAACTTCAACGGACAGTGGCTTGGTGCATACTTTTAAAAGAACAAGTAAAGATTCCTAGCACTACATCAGTTTAATAGACCTTTCTGGTAAGTTCATAGAATGTAATATTATCCACACAATAAAATAAACACAAATTCATCATCACCAATGTTGAGATCAGGTTCTTTTTCTAGATGATGCAGGCGAGCATTTACATACTGATTTCCACATTAGTAGCAGCCAACGCAAAGATATTAAGAAACAATGCACTCATGACCAAAATGGTCTCCAACTTTCATAAAGACATCGACACATCCGCCACCTATCAAGATAAATCCGAGCCCGTGTTGCAAAGAATGCAAAACTTGCTTTGCCACAATTTTCGAACCATACCTTGCGAGATGATAACTCGAGATGAAACACTACGGAAATTGATAGAAAAGTCAATACAACAAATTAACTACAAAAAGCTTCGAATGGACAAGACAACCCAATCACCGAGATACTTAACTCTCTTCCCAATGAGCAGCGGCGATATTCACGAACAAAAACCTAAAAAACAAAAACACAAGCATAGGAATAAAGAACGCCACGTGTTAAACAGAAAGAAGCTGCGTAAATTTTACCCACACAAAGTGAAATACAAAGACAAGAATGTCAACTTCCACGAGTCTGAAGAAAAACTTTCTATGTCAGTAGAACATATACCGGATGTCGCCCAGGCGAGGAAACGCGTCACTTACAAAATGGAACAGGATGAACCCTTTTGGAGAATAGATTACATGAAACACGAGGAACCTAGCGCTCATATGTTTGGATACATGGACCGACTTAAGGATAAGATCATTAAGTCCAGCCAAACTGTCATCGTCGATGACCAAGAAAAAAGAGACGTTTTGCACCCAGATGTGTATATTCAAAAGAACAAATTCCTTCGAAAGAATATTAATTTAAATGACGAAGACATTGAATAATAAAAATTATAATACAAATTGAGTTTTGAATTGACTTGTAAAGCAAGAGTGCGAAATATGAAAGTATGAAACCTATCCTTTATAATAAAAATATTTAGTGCTCAGTATAAAACACGAGAAGGACGTCTATGTAGACTGTACATATACAGATCCTACGGGATTCCTTTGTAGCAACGATTTTTACATAAAATATTTTTTTAACTCGCATGTTGCGACCACAAACCGCACTCGGTGACATCAAAATAATCACGAATCACTAAGATAACGTTATCAACGCTATAAAGCAAGGTCTACATTTATTAATTTTTCAGCATTACCATACATAATTGTAAATTTAACCTTTATAATATTTTTTTTAAATCATATTTCTAATCCGTAGTAGCCAGCTTCTTCTCGACGATTCAAAAACGAAAGGAAAATACATTGTACGTAAGAAAAGTATTCAATTAAAATTAGGTATACAATATTATGCAATAAGTAATATAATGTACTAAGATCAAGAATTATACAATCATTAAATTATATTATCCATTTTTTTAGTCTTTACGCATGATCCAAATAGGTATGTAAATGTTATAAAACCACAATAACTCATCGGGGTAAACAAGCTCATTATTTAATTAGCAGTGTAACCTCTCCCCCACATTGTTTACGAATGATAAATATTCGAATCCAAGGAATCTTTGCCACAACATTCAATAGATATTGTAGCACATGAACGTACGTTTTTGTTTCGATCATGTCTCGTGCTGTTTTATCAACCCACGTGCTGGACACGTCAACGGGAAGACCAGCGTTTGGAGTTTTCGTTGAATTGTATAAGAAAAAGGACAATTCGTGGGCACTGTGGCACAATACGGCGACGTCGAGTGATGGCAGAGTACTTTTTCCGTTCACGAAAGAGTCAATGGCAGCAGGAACTTACAAGCTAAAATTTAATATCGAAGATTATTATAAGCAGTTGGAGAAAGAAACATTATATCCCTATGTGGAGGTAAGAATAGAAAATATTTAAATCTCTAGATGTTATTTAACCTAGGGTAAATTATAAAAAAAATATTTAAACAATATCACAACTAACCATTTTGATTATCTAAATTGGAATAAGAAGTGGTATCTTCCTTTTCGAAAATGGTGCATCGATTATATTGTGCTTTGCAGGTTGATCTAAAATTTATTAAAATATTTACAGATTGTATTCAAAACTGAAGAGGAGCAGCACTATCACATTCCTTTACTGTTAAGCCCTTACGGTTATTCCACTTACAGAGGAAGCTAAAATAAATATTATTTCAATATAGTTACAGTTTTTATATATTCACTAAGGTTGATCTGATTTTTAATAAAACTTGTTTGTTTACTATTCCTCGTTGCACTTTTTTCCGACAGCCAAGGTCAGGCCAAGACTTGCTATTACATATCCTCGGTCCCTCCGAACCTACTCATTTTCTCAATACCTCCTTCTGAAGATTCCTACAGCATTGTTTGGTCATAGATAACGAGTTAACTTTATTATTTATTTTCTATACTAAAGAGGAATAAAACAATCATGTACATAAAAATAATTTTATTATTATTACTACATACAGAGAATTTCAATTAAATATTTAGTATATACACTTTATCCAATTATTTTTCAATGTTTCGTCTAGTATTTTCAGAAAATTATCTCAGTTTAGATACATATTAATGGAGAATATATTGTAAATTATAATTATAAGTATTATTACAAGTTTAATTACAATTGGGTAATAATACTTTTATACTAACATTTGATAAATAAAATCTCTATTTTACTATATCAATAATGTATGTTGTTCAACAGTTTGGCTTAGAAAAACCGATTTTCGAATTATCGATATATAGGTACCTACTTTATTTATCAGAAAATAATAAAAATATTAAATGCAAACAGTGCGTAATATCAGTAAATGGCAAAAAGATTCTGTAAATAAACAATCTTATCTTTTCAACTATACTTTGTTCGTAGATTGCTAATAATGCATACGAAACTTATATTATATGGATATAACTCACAAAACGTAAAGTATATAAAACAAATAGCCCATTTCGTTAATAACAATGTTTGCAATATATTGGCATGGTGATGAAAATATACTTTTTAACTTGTACTAAATGGGCTTATCTTATAATATAATATGTATACAGCCTATATATATATATATCCCTAGACCAAAATAATGAGTGACCTATTATCTGAAATAAGGATAACTCTCAGAAGCAGATTCTTTTAGTATTAGAATGATTTATGTTATTGAGGACCACATAGAGCGTGGGCACAGTAGTGCACATGATCAATGTATTTGTAGTTAATGTATACCAGAGTGGTGGCCACTCAAATAACAAACTTATTGCAAGGCTATGTACATAATGCAATCATTCTGTATTGGCACGGCGCGTGGCTCCGACGGGTTCTGTAATATAAATAGTCACAACCATCAGTTAAACTCAACCAACTCGCACATTCACCATTTCTTCACAAATATCACAGTTCTATCACAGTTGTTTATTATCCAGGTAATGTCCACATTCTTCAGTCAATTTTACCTAAATGGTTGAAACATAGTAGGGAAAATTTGGCTTTTCATCGCTTTGCAATTTTTAACATACCTGCTACACCTGTTAGGAAAAACTGATTAACTGAAGGAAATATAAGCACTTACCAAAGATGTATTGGGCACATCTAGGGCTGCACATCTTGAAGCGCCATATCTATTTTAAGTACAGAATCAAACAATTAGACAAGGATTACAAAACGCGTTTTTGACAGCCCATTATTTTTTAGATTCCCTTGGTAAGAATCCACAGCCATAGATAACACTATGTCAGTCATTCAATTTTAATGATAATAAGTTAACTTGACACTTTTTAAAAATAATTAATTATTTTAATTTAAACACACTACATTGAAAATATTGTGTGTGCATTAAATAGAGCATAAATGGTTCTTCTGAGCAACATTAATCACACATGTAACTGAGTATAGTTTAAAAAGTAAATGACAGATCTGCATTCAACCTGTAACAAACAAAACTGAGTATAAAGAGGTAAAACATCACTTACCTAGTCTCCTTCTTCCTGAATCACTTCTTTGTATCGAGCAATCATCAGCTTCTTTACAGTGTCTCTATATGTGAGCCCAGGTGTGGGAGTATAGATTCCTCGTTTTTGTCCTAGTCCAGCTAAATTTGGCCTCTGTTCGGCTTCTATTGGAGCTATGCGGCCTTGTTCTTCCTTACCCAACCCTCTGCCTTCTGACCAACCCATTTTCTGTAGCATTTTGCCACCAATGGTGTCTACAACCGGTTGAGGTGTATGTGCAAATATAGGTGTTTGAATATCTGATTCATATCTTTTACGAATTGGTGCCTCATCTTCACCAAACTTCATCCTACGCTCAGCTGCCCTATCTCTGTAACCATTACTTTGAGGTAACGAGCTGTTTTTCTTTTGATGTTCCAGAAAATTCTGTTTATGTAAGTCTGATAGTGTCTTGTGTTTAGTCAATACTTCAGCTGAAGGGAAGCGTCGCTTACAGAGAAGGCAAGTCAGTTTAACCCAATCTATAATTCCTTCGTCTGACTCAAACTGATTACATTCAGTTCTTTTCATTAAAAATTCGTCTTCCACGGGCGGAGGAGAGATTTCTCTTATGTGGGAATGATGTTGTAAGGATGGACCAGCTCCTAGAACAGAAAACCCAATATCTGCAGAACCCTTGCTGGTTGAATGGTCCAGGGGTTGTTCCATAATAATGTTACTCCGAGCATTGTCTTTCTTTTGATTTAAGGTACGAGCCCACCTCTCCATGTCCTTTGCTATCTTCTTTGCAACCTTAACTTTGTCCTCTTTATCTTTTTTCTTTTTTTCTTCTGGTTCTTTTGGAATTGTATTCTCTGACGTAGCTTGAGGGGGATTTTGCAACTTAGGTTGGTTTGTATTTTGTTGGCTTTGTGTGGCAGCAATATAGGTGGATCTAGCGGCATCCCAGTACATATATTGAGTTGTCTGACTGTTGTAAAAGTACTGTGTGTTACCATCATAGTAAAGACCTGTGACAGGATCATAATAATAACCTGAGGTTTCATCATAGAGGAATGTTCGTACATCAGGAGCTGAGTATTGTATTTTGCCATCACCTGTAGGAATATTGGTCACTGAGGCAGACTGAGATGTGGAACTAACAAATGCAGGAACAGAAACAGGAGTCCATGAGACCTGGCGAGCTTGAGCTGCTGAGATAGCCGATTGAGCAACAGCAGCAGCCGCATTTACCCTATCTGCTTCAGAAAGTGTTTGATTTGAAGCAAAGTTTGATCTATTCTGCAAATAATTGTATGAGGAATACTCTGTACTTGAAGTGGTTTTAGGCACTTTCTGAGGCTCATTATAAAATGATACTAATACTTCTCTATTATCAATGTTCAATGAGGGATTGAGGCTAATTAATTCAGAATGAGCAGCTGTTGAATCAGCAATAGAATTAAAGTTGATATATGCCAAGCACTTTGAGGCTCCTGTTAGTGTCTCTCGACCAATAGTGATACCAGCAATAGAATCCAACACAGACTTAGAACATCGTTCCTTTATTGAATCAAGAATTTTTTCCTCTGTGGTTAAAGCATCTAAACGTCTAAATAACAACCTTTTGGTAATACCAGCTGCAGGTTCCGAGCCATTTCTATCTTCACCACCCACGACGTTACCTTCAGAACGTTTGCCTTGACAGTTACGTCTATAACAAATCTGCCTGCGTTTAAAATTATAAGAACCACATTTACATATCCAATCACCTGGCGAAGCTGACTGAGTATCTTGAGTATCATAGTCAATATCCTGTCGCTCATAACTACGAGAACGACTTCTGGACTGGGACCTACTTCTATCTCTATCCCTAGACCTATCGCGGCTGATATTCGGGGGAGATGGAGCTGTGGGGATATCCTTGTCATCAAAACGTCGCGGAGAACGACGACGATCGCGTTTATCAAAGCGGTCACGATTTTCGCGGCGATAACGGTCACCATCGCGATCCCGGTCTCGTCTTTCACGGTCATATCGGTCGTGGCGATCCCTTCGCTCCTTTTGACGATCACGTGGTGATGCTTGACGATTGCAATCGGGGCTGGTGCTTCTCCGCATCTCCCAAACCGGCGATCGGGGTTTGGCTTCGCCCCAGCGACTGGGGCGCTCATCTCGTCGCCACGACATTGCCTGCGAAAATCGACTTTAAATGAACTAAAAATACATTGTTAAAACAGTTTGGTGGCCGTGTCTCATGTAGCTTGTGCCACTGCGATGGAGACATCTCTCTTCTACCTTTTATTTTTTATACTTTTTACCTGCTGACGATTAATCCAGTTAATTATAATATTTCCTTGAGTATTTTATTAGCAGAGTTTAAGTTGAGAAACTTATAACTTATAAATTACTACTTAACTACTAATCATTTATAATAAAAATTCAATTTTATACAAGTGACAAGTTGGGAACTTTCAAATCATTATAATTTTAAGTGGACAAAGACAATCGCCATTTTGAAATTTCAGATTAATTGATCGTTTGACTTTTACCCAGAAATTTAATCTATGGTTTTTCTTTTTTTTTTTTTAATAGCCTCACGCAGAGCGTATTGCCACAGACAAAGGTAAGGAAAACGGAATAGTAAAGAAAAATAATTTTACACCGAATGAACATTACATCGATAAAGGATAGGATCAGCAGGATATAAAACTATCTCTAATACAAAGAACTACATTATGGAAAGGAACAGTTATTAATAAAATATATATCATACAAAATACGATTTGTATACATATGTATGTACATATTTATAATTTTATATTATTTAGAGTAAGAAATAAACATAACTTTTTATATATATTATTATTTAAAGATGAAAGCAGAACAGGAACAGATGTAGGTAACGGGATACTAGAAGAAGGATGAGAATGATCGAATAACATGGAGTGGTTATACCGAGGACAGGACAGAATGATATGGTTTAAATCACCAATATTCAGCCCACACTCACACATTTCACTATCAATAATATGAAATCTGGAAAGGTGGGCTGGGGTACACACATGGCCCAATCTCATACGAATGAGAGACGATGTTTCCTTTTATTAAATTTCATTTTAAAAAACCATGGCTTTAGTGGTATTGTGGGCTGTATACATGAAAAAAATTTACCCTTAATTAAACTGCTCTGAATCCAAAGGTCAGTCCAAGATTGTCGAAGAAAAGAAGCAGGAAGTAAGGCCAAATCATGATAATAATTTTTATACGAGTTAGAATCGCCATCCTTAACAGCTTCATTTGCTAGTTAGTCTGCTATGTCGTTACCAAAAATACCAGAATGTCCAGGTATCCAACCAAATGACACAGACAACCCCAATTGCTCACATTCATACAACAAACTCCTAATCTCAATAATGATAGGAAAAATTAATTTGTTTTTTAATGGATATTTTTGGAGAGCTTGAAGAGCACTAAGTGAATCTGTGAATATGATGGATTTCTTAAGTTTCTTACTCAAAACTAATTTTAAAGCTTTAAAGATACCGTAACATTCCCTGTGAAGGTTGAGGACTCTGGAGGAAACATTATTTTTATTGTAGTTTTACTTTGTAAGTGAAATACTCCTATGCCTACATTACCAGACGAACCGTGTTTAGAGGCATCTGTAAATATGTAATTGTACTCATGGCAGTGTTGTTCACAGAAATAATTAAAAGTAATCCTTGCGTGGGAATCGCCCTTGTTTATACCAATATTGAATCTAATGTCTGGAGAAATAATTAGAGATTCAAAGTTGGTTCCAAATAAAGGGTAAGTTGGTAAGGTATGAGTTGGAGCTTGAATATTGATAAATTTATTGAAGCTGACGATGAGACAAGGTGAAGATTTATTTGACCAGTACTTGGAAGATGTCAACAATTGAGATAGTTCTTGCAGCTTAGAACGGAGAGGATGGTTGGCATATTGAAGGGAGCGAAATATGAATTTATCAGATAAATATTGTCGTCTAAGATGTAATGGGGCTTCAACACATTCTACTTGTAAAGCATTAATTGGACTAGTTTTCATAGCTCCTGTGATTAATCTTAATGCCTTAGACTGTATATTATCTAATTTTTTTAAACGGGTTGCATTTCCAGGAGATAATAAAAAGGTACCATAGTCTAAAATACTTCGGATTAAAGCATTGTACATGAGTTTCATACAAAAGGGATGGGCACCCCACCATACACCGGATAAACATCTAAGAATGTTCAGGTTTCGCTCACACCTATTAAAAATGTAGTCACAATGATTTACACCAGAGAGCTTAGAATCTAAAAACACACCAAGGAACTTCACAGAGTTTTTAACAGGGATAATATTATTATCAAAATACACGTTGATTGGAGGAGGGAGACGCATTCTAGAAAAAAGCATGGCAACACTTTTAGTGGGGGATATTTCAAGGCCATTAGTATCAAGCCAAGTTTTTAATAAATTAAGAGAATGAGACAGTAATGAGCAAGCAATGGCCGGTGATTGATGAATGGAATAAATTAAAAGGTCATCAGCATACTGGAGAATACAAATCCGATTACCCAAAGAAGCTTTCAAATCATGGGTATAAATATTATATAAGATGGGACTTAAGACTGATCCTTGAGGAAGACCTCTCCATAAGGTTCTGGTTACAACAGTGGAGTCTTGTGAAATTAGAGTGATGTGTCTTTCGTATAAAGTATTTATGATAAAATTTGATAACATTACAGGTACATTCAAATACTGTAGCTTTTTATGAAGAACTGACAACACTACATTGTCATAAGCGGATTGTACATCTAAAAATGTGGCAACAACAGAATCGTTCCTTGAAAATGCTAAAAAAATGTCAGTTATAAAGATGGCAATCAGTGTTGCCAACTTAGTGGATATTCCACTAGATCTGGTGGTTTAGATATACGTTTTAGCGGGCGAATTTTGGTTTTAGTGGCTAGTGGATTTTTCTAGTGGTTTAGTTTGTTTCATTCAGTGGGATGCTACGACATTTAACCACTAGCACGATTGATATCTTTATAGGAAAAGACGAAAACATTTACCTTATTAAGGAATATTTTGTCATTATGTAGGCAACTCTGTAAAATTACGTTGGTTATTCTCGGGAATTTCCCGAAACAAGTTTATGAATTTCTTAAATTATTTTGATTATGGACTTTATTCGTATGACTAATAGGTCAAATTTGATTTGAATTAATGAGATTTGTATGTGTTCGTTTCGTATGCATGCACAAAAATAGAAATACACAACACAGATACTTAGTAGTTTTGGTTATCCTATGCATCGGAGTGTTTGTTTAAAATTCAAGTTTAGTTTATTTTTAAAACAAAATTGCCAAAAGCGCAATATACGCAAAAGTTCCGGGATTGTTGGTTACGGGACTCCCAATTAAAGGACTGGCTGCAAGTGATAGAAAGTATAGCTGGTCCAATTGCAAAGTGCAGATTATGTGGCTCTGTATTGAGAAATCATTACGGAGATTTAAAGAATCACGGATTATCGAAAAAACACTTGCAAAATTCAAAGGTACGTACGTAACTAATATAATATAAATTACGATGTGTCAAAAATTTATTTTAATATAGTTGTATTATATTATAAATAAGTTTTAGTGGTCTATATAGCCAACATCAACTTTCAAAGAATAAGTAGGCCCTTTTTAGAGTTCCGTACCCAAAGGGTGCCAACGGGGCCCTATTAATATGCCTCCGTTGTCCGTCCCTCCGTCTGTCAGCGGGCTGTTATCTCATAAACCGTAATAGGTAGAAAGTTGAAACTTCCACAGAATATGTATTTCTGTTGCCGCTATAACAACAAATAATAATAATAATAATAAATGAAAGGGGGCTCCCATATATATGTAACTATAACTGACTGTCAAATATTAGCGATTACAAACTTAAAAAATTGCGGTTGGAAATTTGAATCCGTCATTCGATTTTTTTTTCTTGAACTCTACATGCGCGAGTCCGACTAGCACTTGACCGGTTTTTATTTTACATCTGCTTGTATATATAGTTTACATTCCGTTTCTTTTACAGATTATAGCTACGCAACCAAAGTTGCCTTTTAAACGAGAAGGCGTGGGAAAAAAGAAAGAAGAAGCTAGGCTAGCATTATTTACAGCAGCACATACCAGCCTACGTGTAGTAGATCATATGGGAGAAGTGGTGAATCACATGCACAAAGAGGACGAAAAAATTCATTTACATAGGACAAAATGTTCTCAAATTATAAAAAATGTGCTATCACCCCATTTCGCTGAAAACTTAAAAGAAGATTTGAAAGATCAACCCTATAGTTTATTGATAGACGAATCGACCGATATTTCCGTTCACAAATATCTGGGAATAATAATAATTTATTACAGCTGCAGTCACAAAAAAATAATGTCTACATTTTTAGATCTTCCAATGCTGAACGAGTGTGATGCAGATGGGATTGTTGGTACCATAAAAGCGACACTCGCTAGATTTAATATACCTCTACAAAATTTAATGGGCATCGGAACAGATAATGCTTCCGTGATGACCGGCGTCAATAACGGTGTATATGCTAAACTGAAAAAGGATTTGCCGAGTTTAGTTTTGGTGCGTTGCATTTGTCACTCTCTGCAATTGGCAGTATCGGCAGTAACAAAGCAATTTTTACCGAGAAATCTCGAGTTTATTATTAAAGAAACATATGATTGGTTCAATCGATCTTCGTCAAGGCAAGCGGCTTACAAAGAACTATACAAACTTATAAACGACGGTCATGATCCATTAAAAATTGTACAGTCTTGTCAAACTCGATGGCTTTCTATAGAGTCTGCAGTTGCACGCATTTACGCACAATGGTTGGAACTGAAAACACATTTTAATATGGCCAAATTGAAAGAAAGGTGTTACACAGCAGAATTGCTGCATGGAATGTATTCAGATGACGCGAATTATGCGTACATTTCATTTATGTATCCAATTCTCACTGAAATTAACAGAGTGAATAAATTATTTGAATCGAAAGATGCAGATCATACAAAACTGTACGACGAATTGACAAATTTGGTTGATTCACTTGTTGCCAAAATAGTACTGCCGACCCAGAAGGTAGACGTTTTTACGCAAAACATTAAAGATTTTGTTGATAAGAAATGTTATTTGGGGTACAGATTCGAATCTTTTGTGTCAACGATGAGAGAAAAAGGACTTCCACGGAATGAAGAAGAAATGATACGTAATAGGTGCATCCAGTTTATTGTGCAGTTGGTTAATGAACTGAAAAACAGATTGCCCGAAAACTTAAAACTCATGAAAAATATGAAAAGAATTAGTGTAGATTGTGCACTGTCTCACAATAAAGAGCCGATCACTGACCTGATCTTACATTTTAATAAAAATCAAGAATACATAGCGAAAGTTGACGAGCAGTGGCGTCAAATCCATTTACTCAAATGGATAAATACAAAAAATACCAAGGAATTTTGGTACGAGGTGCTGGATTTCGAAGACATTGCAGGAGAAAACCGATTTGAAGATTTAGCCACGTTTGCTATATCTTTATTAGTTTTACCGCACTCTAATGCTGAAGTAGAGCGATTATTCAGCATGATGAATATCGTGAAAACAAAACACAGAAACCGAATGAAGCTAGATCTACTTACAGCTTATGACAATCCGCGCAGGTTTAAAACGCGAAGGAAAGTGTTGCAATAATTACATCTTGCCAAATTCTGTAGTCCAGATAGAATAGGAACGAAAGAAGTGTACTTAAAATCAGAAGGTATAGAGGAAACCGACTCTGCTGAAGATGATTTTTAACGATTTTGAATGTCTTCTATAAGTTGTTTTGTAATGAAAATAAACTAATTTTATAATTCAATTTACAATATTGTTCTTTTACTGTCAAAAAATATATCCTAGCTGTATGCTATCCATCTAAAGTAAAAAGTGACATAGACTACTGTTAACTTCAGTAAAACATGTGTTTCCCGCGGTAAAAACAAAAAAATAGTGCTCGCGGGCTGCTTGCCTAACCTCCTATCTGCGGACATAAAAATCATATCGATCCTATATTTCCTTTGAGCGTAAAAGAAGGATAAATAAACAAACACACTTACATTTATAATATTAGTTAGTGTGGATATTAGTGGTTTTCTGGTGGGTTGCGACGACGGTGGGTTCGTTAAAATTAAGTTGGCAACACTGATGGCAATACTGTCCATCGTACTCTTCCCTCGACGGAAACCAAATTGACTGTCACAAAGTAATTTATTGCTTTCTACAAACCATTCAAGACGAGTTTTCACTAAATGTTCACAGAGTTTTATCAAGACCGAGGATAAGGTAACAGTTTTGAATACCATCGCACTTTTTTGACGATACTAATTATTTAGGAGTCTCGGAGGACCTTCATTGGAACACCTCCAAGTGAGTTTTGCTCCGGAAACGCGTCAAAAATTTTATAAAGATTTATAAAGTAAACTTTGCACTGTAAAACTAATTACCGCTAGTCTAGCATAAACCACATTCAAAATGGCCGATTAAGTTTATAAAATTAATAGGGATGTGAAAAATAATCGATTTTTTAAAAAGTGAAAATCGATTTTTGTATTCGATTTTAATATTAAAAATAATTGAAAATTCGGCGACCAAATATTCATATACTAACTCTAACCTAACCAATCTAAATAATATTTTTTTTTGTGGACAGCTCCGATCTAAATAGTAATTGTTTATTCAAGCCTCGGCTTCTCGGCGTCCTGGTCGCCTTCGGCGACCAAATATTCATATACTAACTCTAACCTAACCAATCTAAATAATATTTGTTTTTGTGGACAGCTCCGATCTAAATAGTAATTGTTTATTCAAGCCTCGGCTTCTCGGCGTCCTGGTCGCCTTCGGCGACCAAATATTCATATACTAACTCTAACCTAACCAATCTAAATAATATTTTTTTTGTGGACAGCTCCGATCTAAATAGTAATTGTTTATTCAAGCCTCGGCTTCTCGGCGTCCTGGTCGCCTTCGGCGACCAAATATTCATATACTAACTCTAACCTAACCAATCTAAATAATATTTGTTTTTGTGGACAGCTCCGGCGCTACGGGAAATGCAGCCCCTCCACCCTTGCGTACCAAAGCACAGGCATTTTATTCAAGCCTCCGCAACCTCGGCTTTTTGGTCGCCTTCGGCGACCAGCCTCAGCCGCTACAGCTTTCATAATGTCTGTGCTTTGTTACAGCGGGTGGGGGCTGCTCTTCCTCCGCGCCTCCGATTATTTATATACACTCTAGGGGTAAGACAGACAAGACCACGTGGATAGTGGGGTGCTCTGATTCGGTTTTGGGTACTTTTTGGATATTAAAGTAAACACTTTATTCTAGTAAAAATTAAATAATATAGAAAGTTGCAAACAATGAAATACAAGTACTAATTAGAAAATACAGACGAGTAGGTATCGATAATTTCAAAAAATTTCGGAACCCTATAATCTATCAACACGAAATTAGGTTAATTTCAATGTTGATTATTCTATAACTTTAAATTTCAAAAATGAGGAAATAATCGATAAATAAATAAAACGATTATTAACAATCGATAAATTAAAAACACGATTTTTTTAAGTGAACGTCACATCACTTATAACCAATAGAAAAGTAGAAAATGGCGGATTGTTTACAAATTTTAATACATTACACAAAACTTTAAATTTTTTATAAAAATATTTAGACGCGTTTCCGGAGCAAAACTCACTTGGAGGTGTTCCAATGAAGGTCCCCCGGACACTCCTAGATAATTAGTATCGTCAAAAAAGTGCGGTGGTATTTAACACCCAACCCGAGGATAATGCAATAGGTACGATATGAATTTGCGTTAGAGGGATTTTTATTAGATTTTAGAATTGGTATAATGATCTGGTTTTTCCAGCGTGGAGGGATAGAACCGGTTAACATAAGTGTATTTATCAATTTCAGGAAATATTCAAGAGTTTGGTCACCTAAATGAGAGATGAAGGAATATGGGATTCCATCGTCACCAGGAGCAGAGTCTATAACTGAAGATAGTATTCCTTTAATTTCATACATAGAAAATGGACTATTGAGACCAGAGGGGTTCAATGGCATCAGAGGTATAATTATTGTTTCAGGAACTGTAGTAGGAGCAAGTCTGTCGAGGAATTGATTTGTTAATGAATCGGGAGAGAACCAGAAGTTTCAGTAAATGCACACCTGAATCTTCTAATATTACGCCATACCACAGAAGGACGGACATTAGGGGAGATGGAGAGACAAAAAGATTTCCAGCTATCTGTTTTTTTCTTTTGAATAATAAACTAGTGGCCTTGAAAGCATCTGTAACCAGATCAAAATTTTCAGATGTACAATTCTCACAATATTGGAGCTCAACTTGTTTTCTTTTTTTAATTGCATCTGAACATTCTTGATCCCACCAAGGTGGAGATGGAATAAAGCCCAGAGCACCGTTTTTAAGCGGAAAGGTTTTGTCTGCTACTTCTATAAATAATTTAGTTAATGCATCAGCACAAATTGATTCTGAACCATGTGAGATATTAGGAAGGGAAGTCATCTTTTGTTCTATACGGGATTTAAAGGTATCCCAATCAGCATTATTAAGTCGATGTTTTAATCTAGGTGAATGTCTAAATGTAAAATTAATGTGAAAAGGAAATCTAAGAAGTAAAGGGAAGTGGTCACTACCATATGAAGAAGAAAGTGTAGACCATGAAATAGTGGAAGCTAAACTAGGAGTACAAATGCTTAAATCAGGGACACTTGAGCCTTCATTGGGAGAGGTCCGCCGGGTCACAGAACCATCGTTAAGAAAGCAAAGATTATGAGAGTTTAACAGTTCCATCAATGAAACTCCGTATGTATTGGTTGTTGAACTGCCCCAAGAATTATGTTGACTGTTAAAGTCACCTAATAAGATAAAAAGGCTTAGGAAGAGTAGAAATGATAGAGTCAATTTCAACAAAGATAGAAGAACTAGGATGAGGAATATATATTGAAACATAGCAGATATTATTAACAATAGCAGCAATAATTGAAAAATCATTACTATGAGAAGGAATAGGAAAGTGAGAAAAAGGAAGATGATGTTTGACTAGTAAGGCAACTCCGCCATACCCGTCAATACGATCCTCACGGAGACAGGCATAGCCTGAGTACCTACAAGGAGCACCTGGTTTTAACCAGGTTTCCTGTAGAGCGAAGATAAAAGGTTTATATTTATTTATAAGATAAATAATATCACTTTTCTTAGACGAAGCACTTCTACAGTTCCACTGTAGAGCTTTGGCTTGCTTGTCCATTATTAATATAATTTGGTAAGCTAACAATAGTGTCAATTAAAGGAGCAGCGTTGGACGGTGAAAGAATATTTGACTGTGATAAAGTGTTAATGAGAATTTTTATTAGGTCTGCAATTGATTGTAATGTCAAATCATTATTGTTGTTTAAGTTTAATCCACAACCATTTCTGGGTGAGGGCATATCATAATCTTTAATTAATTGTTGTTGTGTATTTCTGTCATAACCTTTGGAAAGTTTAGGAATAGATTTAGGTTTGAGAAAAAAAGTCTTTTTGTAAGAGTTACTCAAAGACTGTTTATGAGACTGTTCATTTTGAGGAGTAGAAATAGTAGAAGCACCTACATTGGAAGAAGAAAGTAAAGCATCAGCATAAGATATTTTTGAGATAGGTGCATGAATTTTAGATGCTTCAGCGTACGAAATACAGCTCTTGGCCATAGATTCTTTGATGGCTTTTTGGCGATCAAATTCTAAACATCTTTTACTTGTGGCAAAATGGGAACCTTGACATAAACAACAGTATGCATCTTCCTCTAGGATAGAGCACTGATCAGCCGAATGGTCTTGGCCACACTTGAAACACTTTGGTTTTGATCTACATAATGATTTAACATGACCAAATCTGCAACAATTATAGCACTGTATTGTGGGGAAAATGTAAAGATCAACTGGGAGGGAAGTGTAGCAAATAAAAATTCGCTTAGGTAGTATTTGTCCATCAAATGTAAGAACCACAGTTTCAGTAGGCTTAAACTCACTGCCATTACTAGTAATGATACGCCGTCTCATTCTTCTTATTTTTAAAATTGGACCGCATCCAACAGGTAAATTAATATTTTCCGTAACTTCTTCATCTGACCACTCAGCAGGTATGCCTCTTACAACACCCATACGGGTAACAGTAAATGTTGGGATAAAAACCTTATACTCGACTGATTGTAAAGCAGAGTTATTTAGGAAAGAATTTGCGTCCTGGTAATTATTAAAAGACAGAGACAGTCTATTACGACCAATTCGTTTTAGGCTTCCGTTAACAATATTGTGTATAGAATTTCTTTTTAAGAAACGACCAAAAGCAATTGGGTGGACTGAAACGCTATCATTTGGAGTTTGCTGTACTCTTTGTATGTGAACAACATATGGTGCTGCATCACTTGGCTGGTATCTTAAACGTGCTACTGATTCTGGCTTTTTATATTCATTAGAGGAATTAAGTTGTGACGGGTTGGATTGTGACTCATTGAACAAGGGAGCAGTGCTAATTTGGGTATTGGTTAAAGGAATGCAATGACATTCGTTTGGTTTGATTTCCTTGCCCTCATGTTTCCGACTACGTCTCTTTTTATTACAGTGGGTGCAATGTTTATGCACAGTGGCTCTCCGTTTTCGAGCACCACTGCTAGATTTTATAGATCCATCTGTTTCCATTCCAGACTCATCATTTGAAATCGTTACTATACAGCCCACCCCAGGGACTTCTCCGCCCCCAGGGTCATCAGGCGGCTCCATAAGGAGCAAAAGTATATTAAAATAACTTACCAATAAATCTTCTCTTTAATACACTATTAAATAAAACTAAGAAATAACAAAAATATATACATTAAATACACTAGACTACTGATCCAAACCCTAGAAATAAAATAAAATTTAATTAAATCGAAAAACGCGTCAGTCTACGATCGTATTTCCCGCGCTTCTCTAATCTATGGTTTTGCTTTCTTTGATACGGGATTTACACTCGCGCTTCGTCCCTCGCCTCGTGGCTCGCCTCGTCCCTCGTGCGAGGCTCGTGTTGATCGATGGTAAATGAGTTGCCTGTTTACACTCGCGTGCCGAGTTCAGTCGTCTTTGAGCTAGCAACAATGGAGGACGTCGAAGTTTTAGCAGCAACAAGTTTGTGCGTACTGGGCTTATACTGCTACGTCACTAATTTAAATAAAGGAAAGTAGTAAAGAAACGGCGGTGGCGCCCAAGAAGATGGTGGATGATATCGATTCATCGCAAAAGTTTCATCCATATCTGTTCAGCAGTAACGATATACTAGCGCCATCTACCGACTAGCGTCATCTGTCTATACCTACTTGATGATGATTTATTGAAGATGACTAATTACTTGAACTGACTAATTACTTGAATAAACCTAACTAAACAAATATGTACTTAGTTTTATTTTACTTACTTGTCTTTCTTCAGTGCTCACTGTGGTGTTACACTCGTAAATGGATGCCAAAAATGTTTCCATAGCATCGTAATACAACCACACTGGCTTGTAAATATCATCTTCTCCTGCGCCGGACCTTACTGATTGTTTTTGCGCCGGAGTAGCTGGCGAAATGTAGCCATGAGAGATTTTTTCTTGTTTTTAATTCTGTTTGAGATCTTCCCATTATTTCGGACAATCTCGCCCATGCATCGCTAACTTTTTGGCTGTTCTTGTGGCATTTATGTTTAGGGTCCCAAATTATTCGTTCTTTTGAAATTGTTCTATGAACTTAAATGTTTCGTCTTGCGACCAATCCTTTATACGATTACTGCGTTTTTGTTTTTGCGTATTTAAAACTAAACACAACCTGCGCGGCACGATGTAGAAGCCAGAATAAAGCGGGAGGGCGAATGTAAACACCCACTCGCGTGCGACGCGAGGTCCTTTGACTCGTGCCCCAAAAACCGCTCCGGACGCGAGCGCCGCGAGGACGAGGCGAGGGACGAGGCGAGCCACGAGCGTCTGTTCACACTCGCACCTCGCCCCTCGCCTCGTCCCTCGCCTCGCGACTCGTACGCGAATGTAAATGGGCTATGACAGACAGTGTCGCAACTAAAGAGCTTATTACACTACGCGATATTCAGACAGTCTTACTAAGATTTAGCATAATGTAATAAGAGTTAGCAAGTTAGCCTGTCTAATTAGACTGACCGAATGGGTTCGGCGGTGCTTACTTGCTGAATATCGCGTAGTGTAATAAGACTTAGCACGCTTAATAGCCCATTTACATTCGCGTACGAGTCGCGAGGCGAGGGACGAGGCGAGGGGCGAGGTGCGAGTGTGAACAGACGCTCGTGGCTCGCCTCGTCCCTCGCGGCGCTCGCGTCCGGAGCGGTTTTTGGGGCACGAGTCAAAGGACCTCGCGTCGCACGCGAGTGGGTGTTTACATTCGCCCTCCCGCTTTATTCTGGCTTCTACATCGTGCCGCGCAGGTTGTGTTTAGTTTTAAATACGCAAAAACAAAAACGCAGTAATCGTATAAAGGATTGGTCGCAAGACGAAACATTTAAGTTCATAGAACAATTTCAAAAAGAACGAATAATTTGGGACCCTAAACATAAATGCCACAAGAACAGCCAAAAAGTTAGCGATGCATGGGCGAGATTGTCCGAAATAATGGGAAGATCTCAAACAGAATTAAAAAACAAGAAAAAATCTCTCATGGCTACATTTCGCCAGCTACTCCGGCGCAAAAAACAATCAGTAAGGTCCGGCGCAGGAGAAGATGATATTTACAAGCCAGTGTGGTTGTATTACGATGCTATGGAAACATTTTTGGCATCCATTTACGAGTGTAACACCACAGTGAGCACTGAAGAAAGACAAGTAAGTAAAATAAAACTAAGTACATATTTGTTTAGTTAGGTTTATTCAAGTAATTAGTCAGTTCAAGTAATTAGTCATCTTCAATAAATCATCATCAAGTAGGTATAGACAGATGACGCTAGTCGGTAGATGGCGCTAGTATATCGTTACTGCTGAACAGATATGGATGAAACTTTTGCGATGAATCGATATCATCCACCATCTTCTTGGGCGCCACCGCCGTTTCTTTACTACTTTCCTTTTATTTAAATTAGTGACGTAGCAGTATAAGCCCAGTACGCACAAACTTGTTGCTGCTAAAACTTCGACGTCCTCCATTGTTGCTAGCTCAAAGACGACTGAACTCGGCACGCGAGTGTAAACAGGCAACTCATTTACCATCGATCAACACGAGCCTCGCACGAGGGACGAGGCGAGCCACGAGGCGAGGGACGAAGCGCGAGTGTAAATCCCGTATAACCGTTCAGTCAGCGCGTGGCAGCCGCAGAGCAAAGACGTTCGTACATGTTTGTTTGCTGTGGCCGCGTGCACCATGGCGTGTTCGCAAGAAAAAAAAGTACTTTTCAATATTATCAATTTGTACCGAGACATGCCAAATTTATGGCTGCATGATTGATTGATTTATTAATAATTGATGACCTTAGGTTTTTTTTTTAATTTTTTTAATAATTTATTTCATAACCATGGATACAGAGTCCTTCAGGATGACCTTAGGTCTTGATAGGAGTTGCCCGTTGCCAGGAATCTTAAAGTAACTACCAATATTTGTTAGGACTGACACTTTGTCTAAGAACCGTATCTTCTTTTTGAATGTATGGAGTAACTCATTGGTCTAGTGGTTAGTACCCCTGACTGCGAATCCATGGGTATCGGGTTCGATCGAGCATTTGGTGTTGTGCTTAGGTCTTGGGTGTTTAAATATGTATTTATATCTATATATCTATAATAATATGTATGTATATCCGTTGCCTATTACCCATAACACAAGCTTCACCAGCTTAGCATGGGACTAGGTCAATTGGTGTGAATTGTCTAAAAAAAAAAAAAAAAAACTAATTTCAATAGACATTCAAACTCGGTAACTCCTACTCTAAGGTAGTTTCTTAAGTCACATGGTTCCAAAACACTCAGTATTTGCATATTTGATAATAATTTTTCTCGCAAAAGTAAATACTCTTTCACCCATATGTTTCTTTTCTTTATTTAAATTAATAGACGCGGCAAGAGCCATGGCGATTTTCTGGTGCTTTGAAAGTTTTCCCATCGCGAGACAACCGTCACCGACAACGTACGCTTTGCAAATGAGTAAAATGAGTTAGCTTGCGATATTCAGTCCAGTGTAATAGCGAGCTTGACTAATTCGATTTTAAGACAGTCTTACTAAGACTGTCTGAATATCGCGTAGTGTAATAAGCGCTTAAGTATACTGAGTCATCTAACAAATTTAGGTATTTTGTTTTTTTTATACAAAAGTACATAATAAACCATGATCTTAATGTTAGTGTTATTTTTTTTTTAAAAAGACCTATAATTACCGAGATAATTTCACGTATACTAAATCAATTTCAACATCAGTTAAAATCGTACATTGTATACTGATCCAAATAACATTGTATCAGTATTCGCGGGGCGTGAGGAGGGACACATTGATACAAGTATATTATGGCTCAGTATACGATAAATGACGGCGAGGGCGCGAAATTTTTTTTATTTTCTCAATAATAAGGTGAATAATACTAATGATACAATTAGCAATATCTCAGGAATCGGTGATATAATGCAAAACAGGGATGAATATGGTAAGTTACATTGATATACTTTGTTTATGTTACATATAGTGTGATTTTGCCATTTTTGTTTGATAATTGTTACACGTTGCTTAGTACGCCGTATACTGATACAACTATATTTACACCTGTTTACAACGAACAAACTTTATAAAGAAGACACTTGATTTATCTGGCTATAATAATGTACTAATTCAATTTTTGATATATTTGTTTTATTTGTGGTATAATATATTTTTTTATGTGTTATAAATTTTATAACTTGATATTAGCACGTTAAATATAAAATATGAATTCTTGTGTTTTTAATTGTTGTTTGTTTTAGAGTCTCCATTGCCACCGGATGCAAATTTTATGGAAGAGGAGCTTTCAATACCTACTTGATGATATTGATTAGAATGATAACAAAGAAGTATCGCAGAATATCCCTTCTAATGCTTACATATTATTCCTAGATTATATTCTTTGCTCTTCGCCTTGGGTATCGAATGCTGATAACTGAACTCAAAAAGGAGATCGATCGCCATCAGTCATAGAGAACACTCCAGGAAATTCGCCCATCCAGAATAACATTATAGAAAATTATTGTGATATTACTCCAGTACCATCGCCGTATAATTCTTTTGACTCATCTCCTGTTAATTTCTGACATTAATGATATCACATACTCATCGTCCAATAACGCCAAAAGCGCATTTCCATTGCGAAAAAAGATAAAGAAAGGCTAAGAGTTTTCATAAAAAAATTAAGGATAAGGAGAGGAAATATAAGCTTAATAGAGGATTGGAATATGTCAGTAGAAACGGAAGAGTACATGCTACGAGAATTATGAAAACTTCTTACCCCTCAACTTGTCGGAAAAAATGCAGTGAGAAATTAACAGAATGTTTTGGATTATTGGACCACCGAAGACAATGGGTTTTTTGGCAAGATATGTTGTAAAAGCTGGAAAAAAAGAGAAAAAATATTGTCGATAAAAAAAAGGAGTGAAGGAGATAATATTGAGACCACAAAAATATCGGTTTGCAAAACTATGTTCTTGAGAACCCTTTCTATTAGTTTTGATTTTGCTTATACAGATTTAGAAAAGTCCGATAAAGGTAATGGATTTTTTAAATCAGATCAGCGTGGTC